AAAGAATTATTCATCATGACGAATCAATTCTTCGAAAGAAATGGAAGCATTTGTTTGGCTGAATAGGTAGTTTATGTTCTAAATATGATCTAATTATTACTTTACATGTTAAATTCTTACGTACTGACAGAATACAGGCCTCTTCCGACCTTTAACTCGGTGTTTATAGTGCCTCCAGTTTAATATGATGATTTAATAGACAGATCGATACAATATTTCAAAATATTAAATGCATTAAATACATAAAATCTGATATTTCTAAATATATTTATTTGGCTCCTTCACATGGAAAAAGTTTGACAAAAAATAAATGTCAATCTTCCTAACCTCCACTTAAGCACATTGACTAGGAAAAAGAAGAAATCCTTTCAGTACTAAAGATATTGAATAAATGTGATCGAAAATAAGTTTTTTTTAAACTTTTTTCAGCCACTTACATGTGTTTCATACATGTTCATAAAAAGTGCCTTTAATACCATGAATACGAGGTATTGTCATAAGGTTCTTCGACTTAGTTGATAGAATAAATACTATTCGGTCAAAATTTTCAAGATAGCAATAGAAATTGAAAAAAAAAATGTTTAAAATTTTAGCTTGATACGTTGAAATCTTCTTGATGTTGATGCTTCTGAATTCCATATTTTTTATCAAGATGATTTTTTTTTCCAAATCTTGCATTATTTGTCAAAATAAGTTTTAAATATTTTTCCACGTAATTTGCTGAAGAGTTATACAAGTCATGACACTAAAGAAAAGATTTGAAAAAAAATATTTACCTCAAGCATGTTTCAAAGCAGCTTTAAAGCATTAAAACAACACATTTAATAAAAATAAAGTCCTGATCAACGTCAAAGAAGTTCAGAGATTCAGTTTCATGTGGTTTGTGATGGACTTCTTATGCTAAATGTATACCACGACTCTATATATGTTTCTTGTCTATTACCTAGATATTAAAGGGGCCTGCATAAATTAGCAAATTTCTCAGTGCGAAATCTTTAAATTGGAGGATTTAACAATATTATTTGCACATGAACCGTAGGACTTATGACCCATATTTTGCCATTTTTATTTTTATTATTAAAATACCAGAATGATAGATTTAAACATGAATACAAATCAGTTAAAATTACAACATAAGTTCAATACCATAAAGGTTTTAGATTCTTTGAAGGAATATCTCCACACATCGATGATTAGAAACAAATAGAATCATTTTTTTTTTCATCTTAAACAACAAACAACACAGATCTTTTTGCTTAATATCTTTTGTCGTTACAAAAAAATAAAATATAATGCTAGTGTTATTGAAAACAGTGTGACAATCGTGAGTATATGTAGTACTATATGTACACAGTCTAAACACATTGTAGGACATTTAAGAGAATTTTTTATGCACTAGTTACATGTATCTGTACCGTAGTACACTGCACACTGACGAATACTTTTCACATGTACGACACAAACAAAAAACATCTCGATAACTAGGATGGTTATCCAAAAATTACGCGGACTTGTTGCACATAAAAAATATTTGACGACATAATCGGGCAAAATGTCATATATAATATAAAAGAATCTTTACGTATATGGTCTTAAAAGTTCATACCAAAACGTTGTAAATCTGTATTAATTTTGAATGATTTTTCAGGGCTTATCATTAAGTCATGGAGCAGCAAATTCTAAATCTTCGACGTCAAGGTATTATAAAAATGTGTGATTGAGCTTTCATTTTCCCAAAAGTACCTGTGCGGTTTGTGTTACCTTCAGCTTATCTACTCAACTTTATACACCATTTCTTGTCAAACTTAGCATTTATTAAAAAGTAAAGAATATTCTTTTTTACTTCAAAAGCTACAGGTATTTTTGAGATATAGTGTGATACTGGTGACTCTCAATCACGTTCTTTACAATCCGGATGAAGTTTTCGTCGATATTCTTCTTACCCTCCTACCGTATAACCTTTTTACAGAGGTCTAACGGTCCAAAATTTCCATTAGCTATTTGTGGACGGATATCACGAATACCATAGATTACTATATTTTTAGTATGCGGATTTTGGATCTATGTTGGCGATATCTCAAGCATGATACACATGATTTAACAAAGCTGTGGTGCACCATCAATTCAAGATACATGTATATCATTTTCACACTTGTTTTCACAGGAATCGCATCAGAGAAAGAGCACTATATTTCTGTTAGTACTTCAAATATCACAACATAAATCTATATACATAATAATGGGACAATTTAAAGATACAAGTAACATTTGAGAAAACTGTCGTCGAAAAATATCGCGAATTACAGAAAATTAATGAGTTTAATTTTTAATTATGTGTGCTTTTGCTTCAAATGTTTTGTCGTGATCCGTCATCGATATCTCCATCAGCGATATCAAAATACCAATAGTTTCAGTATAACGTTTTTTTTTTTAAAGAAATAAATAACAAGTTTATAAACTTCAATGGGAATTGAACTGGGTCGGTTACGTGATCAAATCCTGTGAAGACCGAAGGCCTTCTCAAAAGATTTGATCATGTTACCGACCCACTTCAATTCCCATCGTTCGAAGTTTATATACTTGTATTTTATTACTTATATATACATTTGAGACAGACGATTAAACATTTCGAATATAAATTATTACACTAATCGTCCATCGTAGATTTTGAAAAATGACACAAGGTGTAAATCGGCTTGAATGGCGGTTACGCTTCGAATTCATTGCTGACATAAGCTAAGGATTTTTTTTCTAAGGGACTATTTTGCGAGAGGCTATTTGTGATCAGTAAAAGTGAACAGATTGTAGTCTAGCAATATTTCTATTCGTGAAAATTGATAATCAATGCTGAAAAGACACAAGTAAAGAGTCTGAAGATAGATGATAAAAAGTTGGAGGAATTTCGGTCGCCAGAAAGGGATGGATGATCCGATGGATGGAAACACTTGACCGTACCAGTTTATTTGCAACTAAGTACTTCAGATCAAAATTTTTAACCAACGATTTCAACTGAATGCGTATTTATGATGTAAACAAATCACGAAACACAAGCGAAAGCTTACATTGAACTTCCGTCAGTCTACGACAGCGCCAAGGTGTTTATCAGCTGTGCGTGGTGTGATTGCAATGCTGTGATATTTTCCAACAGAATTACATATTAATCATGTGTAGAATTTGATGAAAAAAGTATAATTTATCGTGAAGATTTAAGTAAAAGTCTACCACAAAAATAAGGATAAACGTTAGAGACTCTACAGCTGAAAAAGGGACATAAAACGTGTAAACAAAAGCTAGGCCTAGGCCTTGTTTCTATCGATGCATTTTCCATGTATATTATTATTCTCCTTGCATATTTTGTTAATTTTTACACATGAAATGCGCCGGTAGATATTCTTGCGCCGAGTGATTAGGTCACGTATTGACCTCTGACCTCGGACAAACTTCATACATAATTAAAGATATTTGATCTCCGTATGTTTATATAATGGAAAGATACCACAAAAGTATATATTCTAAAATACAGAAATTTTGGCCAAAATTTATTGGAATCTTTAAGATAAGTATTTCTTTGAAATTTCATAACTAACTGAAGTCTGTAAGACTAAATGAATCTGCGTAATTTTTTAACAGCTCTCGTAATGACCCACAAAAAACAAATATCAATAATGACGAACAGTAGTAAAACTTTTTTTTTTGTTAAATTAACATATTTTTGATATTTTAAAGTTGGTTATACCACAAATATGTAGGCAGCATAAAAAGAAAGTACATATTCAAATAAATATGATAATCTAAGTTTTCAGTTAAAACACTATTTTTTATGAGTGGTTTTAGAGTGTATTGTGATAAAAATCAAACATTTTCTAAATAGCAAAAGGAAATTAAAGCTTAATTATTGTCATTGTCGTCGCCTCCATGTTCTAGGGGCATACCGTCTTAACCAATCCATATGTCCTTTGCGACGTTTCAGCGCAAATGGATGTCCAATATACAGTCGAATACCAGCTCCTATCAGTCTCTTGTGAACAATTTGTGCACTTTTATACTGATTTCCTCATCCTGCAATGGTACCAGCAGTTTGTGTAGGAGTTGTGAGTGGCTTGTGAAGGGGATCTGACGGTCATGCCTGGGTGTGGTAGCCCGTGACCGGCCAGTTCTCAGATCACTATGTTAAGGACAGATATGGAAAGTGTGACCTAAGCACCGTTTATAGGTGTGTAGTTTCATTTTCAAAATTAGAACAAAGCAACTACCTGTAGAAAACGTTATATAGCTATCCATAATGGATAGAATTGGGCCGTGCATTTTATCAGTCATATCGCATGGATAAGTTGTTTGACCCGTGACTTGTATAAAAATAGAATTAATAAGCTGAATGTAGGAAATGAGGATAGTGCAAGAACATACGCTTGTTTTTAAGAAAGAAATTGATACATGTACACATTAAAAGATCTTTATTTCCCCTACCCAAAAAGTTCTGGGAGCTAGTCTGTACTAATTGCCAAGTACTGAAAATTTTGCAAAAAGGCTTTTGATATGGATAAAATTTTCCGCTTTGCTTAAATTCTGTTATAAATAAATGTTAAGTGATTATATTTTCAAAACTAAATAGAAAAAAACTAAAAAAAGGTTTGAATTAATTCAAATGGAGGAAAACCCTAAAAATAAGTTGTAATGCAGTACAAATTTATACGCTTTAATGTTTTATGAAAGATTTGACGAGATGAAAAAATAACAGAAAAGAAAAAAAGGTCAATATAGTCAAAATTAGCAAGTTGTCAAAAATTCAAGTTTAAAGTAATCCCTATGCCCTTTTAAACTAATAATTCAAATGGTGTGACACACTATAAACATTTATATGTAAGTGTCTTTATTATATAATCATAATCAATGAAAGTACCTGGTAGACAAAGTGAACGTTTTAAAGACCAATTTATTTATTTTACTATGACATTGTAATCAGGTTTGTGTATACATGTACATATATTATTTTTATGAAAAAGAAACAAGCAAAAATTGTCTTTTTACTTTTGCCTTAACAATGTCTTCAGTTCTTTTTCATGTTCTTCAACTCTTCGAAGGGCACGGTGATCTACATCTTTTAGTATTTCTTTTAAGGTCTCATAATTATTCAATGAAAGTTTTCCATCCCTTTCCAATGTATTGAAATCTTCATCAACAGTGGTTGAGTGATACCTTGGTGCCGAATACTGGAACTTAAAATACTGTTTCCATGTTCTGAAAACATGTCCATTATCCACAGACACATCAAGATAGTTATTTACCAAATCAGCAATTAAACTCCTATAAAGTTTTTCTGGTATTTGCACCTCCTTCTCATGAAAACTTGTTTCTTCGCCTGGAAGGAAAGAAAAATAAAATCAATGTTTAACTTTATTATGTTCCTTAAACATTAAACAACGTTTGAGAAATATTTTCTACTCTGTTTCATTTAATTTTTATTTAAACCCGTCATGGTAGCCTAGTGATATGGTGTTCTCTTCGTGAGCTATAAGCACGTATTTTGTTTGCTTTCGCCAAACTTTGTATGTATATTTCAAGGTATCACACCGCTAATTGACCTACAAAACAAATTTAGTCAATTGTAATTCTACATATATAAAATTGATTTTCCTTTTTTAAAGAATTTTTTTTAATTATCTTTCAAGCCACAATTACAGGTTTGTTACATGTACCTAGTGAAATTTTATGTATTGTTGAAAAGAAATAAAGGTTTTTGAAAGGAACCTTAGGGGGGGGGGGGGGGGAGGGTATCGGAGGCTACTTTTGGAGGTGCACTCGGGTTTGTCATTAGCCCATTGAAAACACGTAGATTGGTGAGAAGCCCTGTTTGCAGATTTTTAAGAATGTCGGAAAATGCTGTGAAGGTTCCCTGTTTTTTGTGTCAGCTGATGTGATTGGTAACAATAAAAATTTTCTATTAAATATTCTAACATTCAAATACACGCTTTTGAAGGATTTTTTTTATAAAATTATATTTAAAACTAAAAAAGGACAACTATTATTGGTGTGATACCTTATATGCAGTCACTTTCTATGCCGAGAATCCGGAAGAAGTGGTTCACGAGTTTTTCGGATGAAATTTCGAAACCCTAGGACCTGTGTCACGACGTGCGTTGCTACTAATATAAACCCGCACAGTTCAATTGCCATATTACCGATTAAAGATCTATGTTTAGAGCCCTTCATCGGCATATCTTTCAATTTTTGTTGAGAAATCTTCCTTTTTATTTATCGTGAGGGAGTGGTTGTTTTAAGAATTGAAATGCGTTACTTTTGATGTTATTTTAATGGATTTAGGTGAATATTTTGAATCAAAATTTCCCAAGCTTCCATAGCAAATTTATGCATGTATTGACTTATTCATTAAATCTTTTTCCAGATGCTTATTTTCCTGTCCTTTAGATACATGTGTAAGAGTATGTTTTGTGCACTGAATATAAATGTACCCAATGTTTGCTCAATTTTATTGCAGATAAAACAGATAATTTGATTTACTTGATAATTATTTATATAGAAGAGGATACATTTATAGAATTTAAATCAAACTTTTGGTTTTGACTTTCTAACAAATCGATGAAACATATCACAGGTACAAAAACCAAAAGTAGCAAAATTAAGTATATTTTGTTAAACAGATCAACGATCATCGTATGTTTTTTTTAAAAAGCAACAAATATTAAGCATACCATACATCCAATAAAGGAGGAGATCTTTTTCTTTGACAGAATGATGATTCACCCCTCCATGCCTGGGGCAGGTTATCTGTCCTTTTCTATAAATTTCATCTTCCAAGAGAAAACATGATGCAAGTTCCTCAAAAACATTTTGCTTTGAGCATTGATATCCTTTCGAATACAATGTCTTCTTGTGAAAGTTTTTCGTGAGTCTCTTAAGAATTTCTATTATTGTATCACATATTTTATTAGTAACAACAAAACTAAGATCATCATCTCCTTGTCTAAATAATTGGATTTGAATTGTTGTCATAGTAACAGCCAAAACAATGAGATGATCCTGAAACCTGAGACAAACAGCGTTTTTGAACACATATTTTTGTCCAGCATCCTCGACTACAGCCCAGTTTGCATCTACCATGCAAGCAACAACCAAACGAAAGTAAAAGAAATGCGGAAGGAACTCAAATTTGAAGATCAACACGGAGGATTTCTGTGATAAATTTGATAGGTATTTTTTTAAACCATCGCCGACGTCCAATTTATTCATACAAGGGATATAATGGAATTCCTTCCCCACAGCAACCAAACCAAGGCGTTGCATGTACTTCAAAGTTGGTTTGCATTTTCGAAGGTTCAATTTGGTCTGTTTCCATATCTGATGTAGGAGTTCTTCAGAAAGATAACCACTCTTATTGTAATCCTGCCATTGCGCGTAGTTTTTAGCTACCTTTTTGACATGATTTGTATCTGTGATAATGTTTTTGAAACAGTCTACAAACCACTGAACATCTATAATTGTTTTGTCCTTTAGATATTTCTCGTTAAAATGCAAGATACTGCCGATATCATTGTAAAAGCGCAGCATATCAAAAGTCTCTTTATCATTTTTTGACATTTTACTGGACACTCGTTTTTTGAAATTCGATAGAGAAATCATTTTTTTCCCTCTATGCTTATTTTCTCTAAACGCAGTCTCACATAATGCCCAGTCTTCTGGGATAGTTTCTTTCCATCGGTCCTCTAAGGCAATGGACGCAATGCATTCCTCTATATCAGTAAGTTTGTCGATTGGTCCATTATCAATCAAAGGAAATCCAATGTGGAAACATTTGGAACTGTCTATATGCATCATGAGTTCAGGTTCTTCTTTTAAGAGCTCAAACAATTCATCATAAATGGATTCATCAACATTCTATTAATTTTAAAACAAACAATACATTTTCATTTTGCACCTACATGGGGAATATAACAACATAAAGTTTGCAAGAAATAAAATAGAAATTCCACAATAACTAGTTAAGTTTAATTCATAAATAAGTTATAGTATAAAAATAACATTGTCAACTTATTCTGTAAAAATCACTGTAATTATAATTAAAAACAAATTATTTAAATGTTTAACTTCAATTTCAATTTAAGCATTTGAACCATTTATCTTCATTTCATCTCATTTTTAAATGGTTCTACTACGTCGTTATAGTGAAAATTCATAAAGGGATTATTTTTTTCAAGTCCAACAGAATAAAAAGTAATCCATTTATCTTTTTTTTTAAAAAAAGGAACAAACCAATCATTTATATACATTGTACACTATATAGTAGAATCATTATATGTATAGATGCAGAATCGTAAGGTGAATGTTGGAGGGCAATTAATAAATAATTTGATTTCTACTTTGGGCATAATATTGTAGGAAAACGTATAAACAGAGGGCGTACTGTACACCCACGTTGGACATCTAATCACCGATCAAATAAGGGATGCAACTTCATACAAAAGGATTGATTATGAAAACCGAGAGTCGCTGAAGAATAATTATTCCATATAGGATGTTTTTTTTCATTCTGTCACATTTTTATCAAATGTCTGTGAACTTTTTCGTAAGAAAACTCGCATCCATTTCTTATTTTAATGCTTTATTAGATTGAAAACAAAAGTATTACTTTACCTGTATCTTGTCAGAGTGTGTGCCGATCGTGATTACTGGTGTGTCATCATCACAGTACGTGTGGATCGATTTTAACCAGAAAATAATGTATTCTGCAAAGAAAGATATGATTATTTTATTTCATTTTTTCTATTATTCCCAGAAAGGCTTCCATTATAAGTATGTTACATATTTATAAATACTTGTATTTATAACTTTATTATATAATTCATGTAATGAATTCTACATTTATGAAATTTGTTTGTCTTTTGTAACAATTTACAATTTTATTATACATTTTAAATAGGTATAAATTGTATGTTTCTAATTTATTCTACCGTTGATCACTTTCATCTTTGCAGAAAAGTTCAGCTTCTACTACATGTAGCAGGATCTTTAACAAGTAATGCATGATACCGATAGATCACTTTTTGTCCGTACTTTCAAAATTGAAAATTCCAGGTTGGAATCGACCTAAAAGACTGTGCAGGGGTAATAAGGAAGCATATAGCATATTCTACCTTGACTAAATCAGTGAAAAATCGTCATAGTGAGCGAGATGACGTCAAATTTAGAACACAAATTTTCGTAATGATTTTATTTTGTTATGCCTTATCTGTTGTTTTGATTAAAAATCTAGCACCGATGACGTGATATTTGTACATCAAAAAGCTATGGAATTGATCATGTTGTAAAAAGAGAATTTGGCTGAAACTGCATGTGCAATTATACGTAAAATGGAGTTTGAATGCAAATATCATATGACAATATGAATATGAATTGACGACGGATTTTTCCCGTTATTTCCTGATCATGACAAGGGGCACACGACGCTTGTGATCGGTCGGCAGGGGATGCTCACTCCTCCATGGCACCTGTTCCCATCTCTGATGTTTCGAGGGTCCATGTTTGCTCTACTCTTTTTTTATTGTTTTATGGACTTTGATTGAATAATGTTCGTTATCTCCATATCCTTCAAGACATTCATATTGAGTTAAGTTAACAGGTATGCTTATTTATTTTCATCGGTTATATTCTCTTTTGAAGACATGCAGATATACAGTATCCCGGTCGGCCTTTCTTCTGTCATTCGTGACAAAAACTAGAGGTAATGAGAGCAAAGAGCTCACTAAATGATACCCCCCCCCCGCCTCCCATATGAATAAAATGACAGTGTCCATGTTTTGATCTGGAAAACCCAAAATATATGTCAAATCACAAAGTAAAATAGGAGGTGCACAATGGCAATATGTAATAAAGATTCTGTAAAAGTTTCATTAAATTTACTTTAGTGGTATGAGAGGAGTAACGAATAAGAGATGGGTACCCCAAAGCGTAACAGACGGACGGACGGACGGAAATACTGATTACTATATACCTTCCCGCTTTTCAAGTGGGGATATAATAATGCAACAGAACAACAATAAACATGACATGTAAGAAGATACAGAAGAATTGAAATCTTACGGCCATATGTCCAGTCGGAGAACATGGTTCCTTCCTGTTCACACAATTCCTGGGCAACTTGATCTTGAAATGGTTTGGATCGATCAATCACAAGAAGATAAAAAGCTCTTCTGCTGAGATAGACCTGATGACAGGCGTAATAAGCACACTGTCCAGCAAAGTCCACAACACTCAGTAAGCATTTATTTTCATTATTAAGGTTTTCTGAAAGAGCTGTAAGAAAACATTTAAAAGTAAATATTGATAATCAATTCTAGAGTGTTCCAAACTGTCGCGTGCTTTGTAGTTTCATAAATGATGCAATTAAATGGAAGTGTGTCAATTTTTATTTAATATATACATTTGCCTAAAAAATGGCAACCATATATGGTATAAGATTGCCACGGAATCTAACGATCAAAATGAATGATGATTCCCTTACCTTCACATTAGAAACAAAATATAATATTATAAGCTCATAAACAAACATGTACTCGGTAAATAATTGCTTATAATCATAATCCTGCTTCTCAACATTCAAAAGTCATAAGTTCATTTCAACTGGACAAGGATATTTATAACGTAGTAGTTCAAAGGTCCAGATGAAGAGGATTTAAGTTTTCGTGTTGTCTTGTAAAAATGAATGTACATGCTGAATTGCAAAAACTCAACTCTTAAAAGTCAAAAGTATGCTGTACATCGGCACTACCAATTATTTTGAAAAGTAGGTCAGGGTTAGGTCAAGGTCAATAACAATGGTAAGTCACAAGAGTCGTAGTGAAAAGCAGTATGTGAATCATATCAATTATATACCCCTAGAGATTTCAAGATATAGGGCGTGACAGACGGACAATTAGACAGCCAGAAAGACAAACAAATCCCGAGTACATTACCCCTAAGTATCGCTCTGCTCTGCAGACATTACAAATATATATATTGAAACCTATAATAGAAATATCTCAAAAAACCTATACAGATATACAATTTATCTTCTTGGGAATTTTTTACAAACCTTTCAAGGAGTTGTTTTCTATTTCGAAAATGTTTTCATGAACCTCCAACCCCAACCGTAGACTCTATCTCCTTTAGTTTGTCGATATTATGATTTTGTAGACGTTCGAGTAATGTGGTTTTGCCAGCCCCAGCACATCCAACTATCATTGCACGAGCTCTGTGTACCATCTGGGTTCCTTTCTTTAGACAGTCTACGTATCGTCTTCGAGCTTCATAGTCCCATTCTAGAACTTCCATTGGGATATGAACTGCAGCAAGAGTTGAATAAATTACAATCGAACATGCTGATTGCAAATTTGAATTATTTAAATAACATATCTTAGTAGATTCAGGTCCATAAAAACGTTTTCCAACACTACGAGGTGGATTCGTCTTGCTGTGTAGGTTGGTAAGGAGATGGGAAAGATATTTTTTTTTAATTATTTGGTAACTTTTTTTAACGCATGAATTCGCCTGAGTCCCATGATACAGCAACAGAAAGCAGATGATAATCAAAATCAACATCTGAATATCTATGATTAAGGTTAAAGTTTTCAAAAGTATGTCAAACTTCACGGTAAAGGGCCAAAACTATTAGCCTCCATGATGAGGATACAATTTGATTTTTTTAACATGTAGTATCATAGCAATCAACCATTCCATTCAATTTGATAATTTTGATACAGGTGCATGAAAGTGTGAAAAATATCTTTTATCTATTTTCAAAAGGAGGGTGTTTGGTATTGACAAAATAGAATATTTAAGGTATATTTGCTAGCAAATTGTTAAATTACTTTAATGATAAGAGGAATATGATTTTGGAATCGGGCTAATTTTAATTTAATAATATTTTAATTTCCATAGTCTTCCTGCACAATACGATGGTCATTGAGTTATTTTATAAGTATTTAAAATCATTCAATATTTTTCGAAGTTGGGTACCACAGAGCTCACATATAACAAACTTGCTATACACATTTTTAAAAAAAGAACAGCGAGTATGTTCAGGTAGGTTCTTAGATATACATACCTTGATTTTTATTAGATACAAAGCACTTTAAACTTAATTTCAGCAAATCATATCTAAAGACTTAAAACTTTTGAGAGAAATCTTCATATAAATATATTATCTTATTTTGTGCTCATACTAAACAAATTCATTCTGTACTTCTTTGTTCATATTATCAAAAACTAGCATAAAAAGAACCAAAATGCGATAAAGAAGTTTCATCAACTGTTTATCCTTATACAATATTTGAAGTAGAATATCACTCATGAATTGTGTAAGTTAAAGATTTTTTTTCAAAAGTCTTTTTTTACCCTATATAGATCAGGAAAAAAATATCAGTTCATTGATTAAAGATTTAAACAAGGTATTGAGATTGTAATAAAAACTTACATGTGTCAGCCAGGTTTCTGCTTTTTTGACAAAGCATCTCCATATTGACATGACATAATATATGTACATCAAGTTTCTTAATATATATATTCTCAATCCTCTCTGGTAAATGTAAGACTCTTTCCTCTTCAACATTTCCATTTCTCCATACGCGCACATACTCTAATAACGAGTCCACTGAAGACAAATTTATGTAGTTTATGTAGTCTTCATCTGTGACTAGGCAAGTCCTAACAAAGTAACTCATTACTTGATGGCGGACATCATCTGTTGCGAATTTCACATTATTGAGTGTATTGTTCCTGATTAATACTTTATCATTTTCTACTAATTCCTCAATAAGTAAATCGTCCTCAACTTTCTCAGTCCTCTGGAATGAGCTAAATCTTTGTCTGGTTTCCTTGATAGTGTCTTTCAATTGCTTGTCCAGGCAAAGTGTGTAACCGTTTGACAGAAGGATGGTGCAAAGTATGCTCATTTTAGGGGAAGAAGGCGGCGATGTAAAAAATTCTGAAATGATATTTTTAAAGCCTAAAAAATTCAAACATTTAAGCACAATTATGTTCTTAATGTTATGACAATCATCAGAAATCAGTATTTCTAGAAAAACATGTTCTCTAAAACTTTTCATAAATTGCATGTCATAAGAGAATTCTCAGAATGTTATACTTTTGAGATTTGTTTGTGACTTTGTGCATGTCATAATTCAAAATCAATTTTTATTTCAAAAACTTAAAATATTTATCTGAGTGTTCGTGACCCATTTTACAAGATTATTCGAAGAGGCCCTTTTTACAGTAATGTTTGTTTGCCCTCTTCCAACTCAGGGTAAAACAAAATTAGGTCTGTAGGAAGATTGGAAATATGTTCTTAGAAATTGTCAACAGTAATGTATATGTGGACTGTATGGTAAAATTCTATCATAAAAAGAAAAAAAAAGTATATTACTGAAAAAAATTTTGAGTCAGTCCATTTTAGCAAGTTTGTAGGGAGACGGAAACGAAACAAAATGCTTAAGTCTTCAGAATCTTAATTGCAAATAAAACATACGTTCGTTTTTCTCAGAAAAAAAATCGCACGAAATACTTTGGATTTTTTTTTTATCGAAATACAAATTTAGGGATGTTTTCATAAAAATCAGTTTTTAATTTTAGCGAAAAGAAATTAAAGTTTTCTTGTATGCATAGAAAGGATGTGGTGTAGCATTTCAGTGGCATTGTTAAGAAAAGAAATTATATTTATTTGTCCATATTCAAATCTATAGATTTATAGCTGATATCAATTTTAACTCGAACTCCCTGTAAGGAATTATTTGAGCCTTTCATCTCGCTGTGAATGGGTAATTAATTTTAAAATATTGAATGAGGCTTTAATACTTTGTTCATTACACTTTTTTATGTCTGCTGAATACACAGAAGTAAGGAAGAGAATGTTCAAAGAAATATGCTTTTTTCTATCCGATTAATAGAGCCCTAACTTAATTTTATGGTAGTGGATTTTGCTCAACATAACGATTTAAGTTAACGTACCATGCTTTCTAAAAACCCTCGAGCAGGGAAGATTTTAAAAGAATAAATGCAGTTATACTACTAGTATATGAACAATTTATACAAAGAAGAAGCTGAAAATATTCAAATTTTAACACACGACGGACGACGGACAACACGACGACGGACGAAAACGGATAGCGATAGGTCACCTGAGTGAAATACATGTATAACTTGCTCTTACGCGAAAGCAGACCTCTGACCTCGGGGAAGTATATTCTGGCATTTCTTTATTTTAAGGAGGCACTATTGATCCTTGATCAAGTCTTTGCACTTAGGTTTTCTATTTATCATTAAGGTATAACTTTACTCAGATAACTAAAAATTCCAATGATAAGAACGGAAAACCATCTATTGCACATTGAACATCTATGATTCTTCAGTTATATTTCCATATCAAATTACTAACTCAATAACCTACTTTTCATGCTAAATGCACCAGAGTTACTCAATATTTCACGCTTAGACCAGTTTTTTCTTCTTTCCCAAAATATAACAATCAACAAACTCTCTAAAAAAATAAATATTATGTTAAAGGAACAGCGTGGTGTCATATAAAAAAAACGAATAGAGTTTGGGCCATAAACTTGATAATTATTTGATTCCAAATTTCCTCTGTCATATTTATATTTTCCCCCATTTTTAATTGAATATTGTCAAAACTTGAATGATAAGAACTCTAAATTATTTATACCCTTAGGTTACTTTTGTTGCACTAATTCTTATTGTATTAACATTATTCGGGGTCAATGATCAAATTCTTAGGATATGATGTTTGGAGTAGCTTTTGTTCATATGTTTGAATTTCTTTATTTAATAGCATTCAATTACTTGAAAAAATATATAAGCTGTAACACATATAACATTTGCAAAATGTAATAAATACATATAACTTTTACATTGTGATTAACATTGCAAGAAATAAAATATTTTGGCAAAAATAAAACACTAATTTTAGCTAGAATTTCCTCTGCATTACAATACATTGACTTTTGTTCCTGTATATTTTCTTCGAATAATATATAATATAAAATTTTCAAATAGATATTGAGTGAAAACTTGGTTATTTCATCTATTTATAACAATTTTTTATTTATCATATACTTTATAAAATTTCCCTTCTGTTTTCTGAAACCTGAGTAAACGTCATCATTAAGAGAGGGTACTGTGTAAAACATTTTGTAAAGAAATCGTCAAATCTGCATTTTCACTATATTATTTAACAAGAGGCCCACGGGTCTTATAGGTCACCTGAGTATTGTGCAACAACTTTCAAACAATTAAATTTGGTTCATGTTTTAAACCAGAATTCGCAATTCACAATTTTGAAAGAGGTACCATTGCTTATAATAATTTAGACTTAGCATGCTAACTCTGTTTACTTAATACCCAGAGGTAGATCAGAGTAACATTAAGAGAAAATGCACTTCCACTTTATAACCAGTTGTACACCTCATCCCAATGGAACAACTGATCCTGGGGCCACATATTTCAAATTTTTGCAAACTTGATCATAAAATGGTTGATTAACACACCAAAGAGCAAATTTCAAAGCATTAATTTATTTTCAGACTTTGTACCCTCCCCCCCCCCCTCACCCCGACCCAGGGAAGGGGCGGGGGCATAAAAAATAACCATTTTGCTAGGTGCACCTTTCTCCACCATTAATATATATATTTGGATCATTGGCATTAAACACAGGAGCAAAGGAAAGAATTTCAAAGAATAAATGCATTTTCACTATATAACCAATAGAGCCCTGCCCTAACACCAGAACTCCTGACCCTGGGTCATAAAATTCACAATTTTGAAAGAGGCACTCTTGCTCATCATAACTATGTGCTTAGTTAGTTTATTTAATACCCAGAAGTAGAGAAGAAGATTTTCAAAGAATTAATGCATTTTCACTAAATAACCAATAGAGCCCCACCCTAACACCAGAACCCCTGACCCTGGGGTCACAAAATTCACAATTTTGAAAGAGGCACTCTTGCTCATCATAATTATGTGCTTGGTTAGTTTATTTAATATCCAGGAGCAGAGAAGAAGATTTCCAAAGAATAAATGCATTTTCACTATATAACCAAAAGAGCCCCGCCCTAACACCAGAACCCCTGACCCTGGGGCCACAAAATTCACAATTTTGAAAGAGGCACTCTTGCTCATCATAACTAAGTACTTAGTTTATTTAATACCCAGAAGTAGAGAAGAAGATTTTCGAAGAATAAATGCATTTTCACTATATAACCAATAGAGCCCCACCCTAACACCAGAACCCCTGACCCTGGGGTCATAAAATTTACAATTTTGAAAGAGGCACTCTTGCTCATCATAACTATGTGCTTAGTTAGTTTATTTAATACCCAGAAGTAGAGAAGATTTTCAAAGAATTAATGCATTTTCACTAAATAACCAAAAGAGCCCTGCCATAACACCAGAACCCCTGACCCTGGGGTCATAAAATTTACAATTTTGAAAGAGGCACTCTTGCTCATCATAACTATGTGCTTAGTTAGTTTATTTAATACCCAGAAGTAGAGAAGAAGATTTTCGAAGAATAAATGCATTTTCACTATATAACCAATAGAGCCCCGCCCTAACACCAGAACCCCTGACCCTGGGGTCATAAAATTCACAATTTAGGAAGAGGCACTCTTGCTCATCATAACTATGTGCTTGGTTAGTTTATTTAATACCTAGGAGCAGAGAAGAAGATCTTCAAAGAAATCATGCATTTTCACTATATAATCTATGTAGCCCCGCCCTAGCACTAGAACCCCTGACCCTGGGGCCATGAATTTCACAATTTAAGTAGAGGACTCAATGCTCATTACATTCATAACAACAGTTTGCCTGCTTGATGTCCAGGAGTAAAGAAGAAGATTTTTAAAGATTGTAATAATTTTAGTGGTTTTTGCCCCACCCCCCAGGCCCCAGGGGGGCAGGGACCATGAAATTCACAATTTTTGTTCCCCTTCACCCATAGATGCTGTATACCAAATTTGGTTGAAATTGGTTAAGTGGTTTCAGAGAAGAAGCTGAAAATGTTTAAATGTTAACACACGACGCACGACGCACGACGCACGACACACGACACACGACGACGGACGAAAACAGATAGCAATAGGTCACCTGAGTTACTCAGGTGACCTAAAAAGCCCCTTTAATATACAAGAAGCCGTAATTTATTGCCATGCAATTTACAATTTAGGGAGAAGGCTTAGTTCTTATTTCGAATAAAAGAAGGAGATTTATAAAATAATGCATTGATTCCGATCCTTTTTATTTAAGTGAGACCATGTGTGATCTGCATTCTTTCTCAATATTCTTCTATGGCATATTTCATAATTGGTTGATATAGGCTCAGCAGATTCAGAGGATATAACTGAAACCTCGTCCTTGGAAGGAAAGCAGGGAGTAATACATGTAGGTCCCTCAGATTATCTAGTAAAATAGTTTTTGATAAGAGCAACATATTTGTATCTTCGATTATCTTCTGTCAGTTTAAATAAGGATAAAAATCATTTTTAAAGTTTTATTGTTATAATATAACTATTTCATACGACTTTAATCTATCCACTTAATATCTTACAACATGTTTTGGCATAACAACATAACTTTTGTTTGTTTCCTTTCCCAATATTGTATTTCTAATGTAGTTTAAAACTCACCTCTCTTTTCAGACGTATTTAAATCAATCAAAAATGATCCAAAAAGACTACATAGGTTCAATTGTTGATGTTCATGTTCCTCATCAAATCCCTTGACGAAATTGCAAAACATGATCTTTGTCCCTTGGGACATCTTTAATACGCCAGGCGGTAACTTTACTGTAAAAATAAATATCTAAAACAATTCTTTCAAAAATATAAGTCAGATACATGTAATTGATATTTTGTCACGTAATTACTATTATTTAGAAAATTAAACATATATTTCTTTTTCAATTTTTTTACGTTTGTCACAGCATTAATGTCATAAAAATGTCACATTTTTGCTATTGTTTAGAGCATTTTCATTTTTGTCACGACAGAATTACCGGATTATCTCTATTCAAATGTTCTAATTAAATAAAAGAAATTGATAATTAAGTTTAAGAGTTTTTTTCTCGTTTAACGGGTTTTCCAACAATCTGTTGGATTTTCAAAAATAACAAGTTGTGGTTTATTATAAGAAGGTATGTTTTTGTATTCTTATGTAGCAGAATTTATTTGCTAACGTATATATAGAACTTCATTGGTCATATTTTTTGCTCAAAAGTCGATAAGCAATAAGTTTATCTTAACGGTTTGAATCTATTAACTTGGGATGTGGAGACATGTCTTCTAGATGAGACCCTATAAACCAAAATCCCGTGTCGCAGTAGGAACTGGCATGTAAAAGATCCCTCAATGATCAATGACCCTAAGTACCTAGCATAGGAAAAATTCCATATATCCACCCACAGGACGAAAGATCACCTTTAAGCAATCGCTTAATTGTAGCTTAATAGTGACTTAAAATTGCTTAAAGAAGTTAATTCCTTTAAGCCACGATTAAGCCACCATTATGCTGCAACTTATTGATGCTTAATGTCCAAACTTCATTAAGCTACCATTAAGCCACCTTTAAGCTGAGCTTAATGGTGACTTAATGGCCAAACCTCATATAACCACTTTTACGCATCTTATATCAGTATAACTCATGAAGAACAATCCCGAGAAGTTTTTCCACAGCAAAGTGTACACGGACAATATTCCAGCCCTCGTTACTAAAATCTCTTTTAAAAAAATCTTTAAAAATAGCTGATTTTCCTTTATTCTGTAAATATGCATATTAATATAAAAATTACTATGGATTATATTCAGTTAATTTCTTAATTTTTAAAAGATATACCATGACTTAGGATTCTACTAATACTCGGGCTTGAATTCTCTTAATAATAAGATATAACCGATAAAAGTTTTTTTTTTTTTTTCAAAGATGACATCAAAACAGATCTTAACTTCCCGTCAGGAACTGCTGTTTTTCAGCAAGGTTTTTGGTCTATGTTTTCCATGTAAGGATTGTTGTAATAAACTATTAAATCAATCTTATAATTAATTTTTATATATAATCTATGTAATGACATACTTTTAGTGTTTAAGATAATATGTGCCTGTTTCGGATGAAGCGGCTTTAAGTATGTCTTAAACTGTAACATAAAACGAACTTAGTTAGGTCTTAGCTAAGTCAAACTTATGCTAAAAATATTTCATATGATTGCTAAATAGATATATTGCTAAAAGTGATTCAGTTAGGCTTTTAATTAATTATATATTAAAGTTGACGTCCTTACCTATCAGTTTAAGTTATGTTGGATTCGATTTCATATTAAAATTATGATTATGTTATAAATTATTCAGAATGTTTGAAAACAAATACCGCACAGTCAAAAAGTGGCAATTTGTGGTTCATTGCAAATGTTCACGACAATTGTTTTATCACCTGAGGTGTTTTCAGTTTACCTTTAGTAACTCTTTTGTTTTGATAAATGTTCACTTACCCTGTTATTATCACAGAAAAGAAAAGATAATCGAATGCCTATCCACTTGAAATTGATACTCTAAAAAGTTCAATTCATTTTGAATCCCCGCTATGTAGCAGGCCATGCGTCTCAGAAGTAAAAACTGCAAAAAGTTTTATGAAATACTCATTTGCTAGTTAATCAAGGATTCAAAAAAATCGGGATATTTTCCGTATGTCTCCACTTATCAGCAATTCTCTCTCTCTCTCTCTCTCTCTCTCTCTCTCTAACTGTAGTGAGCCCTGGCTAAATCCGCACGTCACATTCTAAATTTATTCCACTTAACAGCTACATTTTATAATATTACTGTTACTGTCATTATCTTCTTACTTTTCTGTTTTCAACAAATTATTTCAGCTCATATTTTCAAAGTGAACATACAGATTCGTGGTTTACAACTGTGTTCATTTTTTCCTAAAACCGAGGTCTCACTAATATTAGACGTATTCCTAAAATTAAATATTGTATTTACATGTATGTTGTGTTGGGAGTGATATTGAAATCAGTGATCCCCCCCCCCCCTCACGAAAAAATAAACTTCTTAAATCAGCGTCAAATAGAGATAATTATTTTCTTTAATACATAATATGAATAGAGGAATTTTTTAACATCGAACGTCAACATTAAATAATTATTCTAAATATATGTACAAGAAAGTTAAGATATACTAAAGTCACCTCTACCGGCCGCTGAAGTTTCGCTAAGATTGCCAAATCTTAGTACGCTTCTAGTTACGGTCTTAGTTTTAGACTGTACTTAAGTCTTACTTAAGCACGGTCTTAGACTTAAGTAGCCTTTATGTTACGACCCCCAGATTTATACACATTGGAAAGCGGGTATGATAAACAGATTAACAGTGTACAGTATATCGACTGGTCAGACAATAGACCATAATTAGGTGTCCACCGTGCTGTCCCCGGTTAATTAACAGGAAACTATACATACACAACGTACAGACAGATTTTGATGATCAATTATTTTTACATTCATTCATTCATTCATACTTTATTTCCCTCATTAGAGGATTATCAAATGACAAGAATAGAAATATATATTTATAAACATCAACAGATACCAAGCAAATTTAACATATAAACAATGAAGAGAATGCATGCAAATAAATGTCAAAACTAGAACAAGAGGCCCAGGGGCCGCATCGCTCACCTGAGCAATTGGCTAGGAAAAAGCACATATCAGATCAGAACTGAAAGTTGACTGGGGGGGGGGGGGGGCTTGAAATTTTACCCCCAATGGCTCATGATTTGAACAAACTAGAACTTACACTACCTGAGCATGATTCCCTATAAATATAACTAAGCATAGCTTTGAAGTACTTGAAAAGAAGATTTTAAAAGGTTTTCCTATATATTTCTATGTAAAACTTTTATTGGCCATTTTGCCCCACCCTACCCCCGGGGGTCATGATTTGAACAAACTTGAATCTACACAACCTGGAGATGATTCTACATGAGTTTCATCTTTCCTGGCCTAGTTGTTCTTGAGAAGATTTTTCCTATATATTCCTATGTGAAACTTTGATTGGCCTTTTTGGCCCCACCCTACCCTCTGGGGTCATGATTTGAACAAACTTGAATATACACTACCTGGAGATGATTCTACATGAGTTTCATTTTTCCTGGCCCAGTGGTTCTTGAGAAGATTTTTAGAGATTTTTCCTATATATTCCTATGTAAAAATTTGATCGGCCATTTTGGCCCCATCCTACCCCCTGGGGTATACCCCCTGGGGTCATGATTTGTACGAACTTAAATCTACATTACCTGAGGATGATTCCACATGAGTTTTATCTTTCCTGGCCCAGTGGTTCTTGAGAAGAAGATTTTCAAAGATGTTTCCTAAATCAGGGTTCTCCATCATTTGAAATGTTACTGTGTTGCAGAATTAACAACTACCTGAGGATGATTCCACATGAGTTTCATCTTTCCTGGCCCAGTCGTTCTTGAGAAGAAGAGTTTTTAAAAAATCCATTAATTTTTCTCTAATTCATAGTTATCTCCCCTTTGGAAAAGGGCCTGGCCCTTCATTTGAACAAACCTGAATCCCCTTTACCTAAGGATACTTTATGGCAAGTTTGGTTGAAATTGGCCCAGTGATTCTTGAGAAGAAGATGAAAATGTGAAAAGTTTACAACAACAACAACGACGACGACAACGACAGACAACGGAAAAATTGTGATCAGAAAAGCTCACTTGAGCCTTTGGCTCAGGTGAGCTAAAAATGAAAAAGAAATAGGAATATATGTGAAAAATTACAAGTTGTCAAAAATAAATAAATAAACTAGAGCCGAGCTCGTTGCAAAGCAACGAGTAGGTCTTCCGTCGGAGCTACGGACAGTGAAATGACCTTGAGTCAAGGTCATGCCACGTTTTAATGTTAAAGTAATCTTTTAAGGGTAGATAACATCTTATTATGTTTTACTATTTAAAAAGGATAGTTAAGGAATGTTTGCGACCTTGACCTTGTCAAAATGACCTTGGGTCATACAATGATACACGCTGGTGATGAGCATATCCCATTTGTTTGCTACCGTATTGACAAAACCACACATGTTTTTCAAACAATGCATCCAGCCAAAATATCTTATCCTAAATGACCTTGAATCAAGGCCATAACACACTCTGCATGATTTAAGCAATACCTTTTTATAGGCCTTGTAACAGCTAATATACATATGTAAAAAGTTATGGTCAATTTTATAAGCAATGTTTAAATTTTGGAAAAGCCTGTTAAACTTCAGGGTCAAAGTTCATGATATACTAGTATTTGAAATGATTTTATCACAGGTTGCGTACATCTGATGTTTGTGTAAGATGAAAGCCCTATCTCTCCTCATTAAAAAGTTATGATCAAGTCTCAAGGTCAAGTTGTCAAAAGTCAGTGTATTTAGAAAAGAATTGTCTTAGGTAATACACAGGGATAAAATAAAAGCCCTATCTCTTCTCATTCAAAGGGTATGAGTGTTGTTAGTGTTTTTCAAAAGCAGGTAAAACTTCAAGGTCAAAGGGTAAAAAATCAGTGAATTTTGAAAGGTGTTATTACAGTTAATACATTTTTATAAAAGGGAAGCTTTCAAAAGTTATGGTCAATTTAAAGTTATGTTATTTTTTTAAGTGGGTCAAGCTCCAAGATCAAGGTCACAGGGTAAGAAATCACAGTATATTTGAAAATTAGATGTCACAAACAAAGATGGCACAAGTCCTATTTCAACTCATTCAATAGTTATTATCAAGTTTAAAGTTCTCGTGACAGATGGACAGACTGGCT